CAGAGTGAGTGTGTGTGTTTTTTGAGCTAGATGCGACAAAGTCAAGTCTCTAGTAATTATTGTTCCTGTGCATTCTCGAGCTTATACTCGTCCCCAAAACCGTCAACTTGTCGCATTTGGCCCAGTGAGAATTTGTGTATGTGTGTTTAATCCAATAGTAAAGGATGCTACCACTTCGATGTTATTTGGCTCCATCGAATCACCTAGATTTTCCCGGTCCAACCACAGACCCGTGTAACGGGAGCTGCAGTCGGCCGAGGATCCCGGTGATGAGGATGCTTCGGTAGCAGAAAGAGGACCCCTTTTACTGTTGGATTAGTGTGAGTGTGATTTGTGTGATTAGTCTTAAATGTGTGCGAATCTGAGCCGATAGAGGCTAAAACCGTGTTCTCTAATGACCATTGTTCCTGCAAGCCGTTTTTGCAGTTGTAATCAACTTCAGAACTAGTGTATTGCACTATAATTCTGTTATTGATCTCTCTCTCTAACGGCCAGGCCTCGTCAGAGTTCGATAGACGGTTTCAGCAACTGCCGATTTGGGTGAGAAAATAGTTGCAGCTATTTTCTCAGGGACGGACAGGTATCGTTGAGTAATGAGATTGGGAAACCGCAAAAAACCAATCTCCCCTGTCCGAGGTAAGGAAAAGGAATTGGAATTTAAACGTGGGTTCTATAAGCTAATGGAGTAGCTTCGAGGATGTCAGCGTATTCTCCCGGAAGTTCGTCAATGCATGCCTGCATTAGAATGGACGGTATACGAAGTTTTTTATTTTTGGGTCTCCGGGATTTTACGTGACTACGGAAAGAGCAGGAACTTTTTAGGTTGTCCTGGATGTTGTATGGGGGCCGTTGATGGTTCTGAGAGTAAAGTTCCTGTTAAGAGATTTTATTCTCGTGATAATTGAAGTATCATTTGCTGTTAACGGGATGGGAAATACCAAAGTTTTCTACAGACGCTATGCAGAATTCTGCAATCCGCAGCGATCAGATTTTTCTGATGATAATCTTTAAGTAGGCAATATAAGGTAGACTTATATTCAAAAACGGATCGAATGAATGTTTTATAAGTGTGGGTGGGAGTTTTTGTGTGTGTTTTACTTTGCAGCGTGGCTTTGTACAACATGCTTTTTATGTTTTGAATGCCTTACACCGCCATCTACGTGATTATAGCCAAACTGAAACTTTTCTAAGTACCTCTACAAGTGTTACATAAAAGTAACACTAGGTCATAATGGGTTAAATATGTATACATAATTTCCTGTATTTAGTTAATAAAATAAACTTAATTTACAATTAAAAATACATATTTATTTTTTTCAAAACTTTAGGGACATGCGTTATAATCAAATTATGTTTGAACTGTATCCAGTTTTATTTCTCTCTAACTGCCAACTATATTGTTTAATGTTAACTGTCTAACAGTCTATCATATTAACATATTTCTGACTTTTAATTCCAATTTCTTACAAAATTATTAAAATCCGTCCCTGTTTTAAACTGTGGTTGATGTTATTCTTTGATTTCTTTTAGGTGTTGGTATTTTTACCTAAATATAACAACTTTATAATATGTTATCTACCGATGATCTGGGAAATTTTGGTGACTATCAATGTGCAAAACCAATGAGTTATTTTATGGCAAATTATAAAATAACACAAGTTCAATTTTTTATTCTGAATATTTTTGCATATAAAATTTAATACTATCAGATGAAAGCAATAGAATAATGTTATTTATATACTTATACATAATCTATAACCCTCTCCCTAATGTTATTCAAATCCGGTATCTCTGCAATGATTTTAACATGATTTTAGAAAGTCCAGGAAATGACGTAAAAATAGAAGGCCAATAACTGAAAATGATAATCAATAACTCAATTTACTAGAAGAGAAAATAAATGCAAAAATTGAGGCTTACTATTCAGAAGATATGAATGTAAATATATATATATATATATATATATATATATATATATATATATACTATTTATATTATATATAAACAACACAGTTTATTAGGGTTGCAGTCAAAAAATTGGCCAGGATGTTAAAAAAATACACTCTTTTGACACTAACTTTCGGAATGATATTATTCCTTTTTCAAGACTAGTTGTTGAAATTATTTATAAAAGCATTGACACTCAACATTGATAACACACATATAAAATCTAAAAAAATGGACAAAATACATTCTAAAATTTTTAAAATTTTGGGTAAAGATAGTAAAACTTAGATTATGTACACACAAATATATATATATATATATATATATATATATATATATATTATAATGAAAACAGAAATACAATAAATTAACTTAGAAATGTATACAACCAGATATGCAGTGTTGATTAGTAGGTTTATTTAGATAGTAATTGAAGACATAATTTAAAAGTTATATATTAGATAATATTATTAAAAAATAATTATATGAGGGTATTTTTAAGAATTTAGCATAAGAATTAAGTTTAAGAAGTTTTTGTTTATTTTATTTAATATTTAATATGTTTAATTCAGCCATGTGCTATGCAACCAAACATACACTGTAGTGTCAAAGTCAAAAAGTTATTTATTTTTTGAATGTTAATTTAGAATATAATTGTGGATGTAAAATTGTAAAAATATAGTTCATATAAATGTTTAAGTTACATATAATAGTGTAGTTCTGATCTGGAGAGCCTAAAGTTAAGTAAATTGTTCATAGAAAACTCTAGAAATGTCAATGGGACTATTTACATAATACATCACAGGCAGGAAATCTTTCCAGATTGTTCATATAGAACAAATAGAAGGATTCGAACATTATTTGTTGCTAGAATATTCTGGAAACAATGAAAACATATAAAAAGCCATGTAATTTGGAGAAGTCAGTTTGAGTTAGCAGTTTAGTTATGAGTTAGAGTCAGTTATGATTTCAGTTCAGTTAAGTTCAGTTACCAGTTCAGTTATCAGTTAGTAAAGTTATAATTCAAGAATTTAGTTACAAGAAGATTAATAATTGAGTTACGTGAGCTAGTTAGAAGATATTAAATCAGTTACAAAATTATTATTGAGGAGTTAGTTATACCAATTTAAGGATTATTAGATCAGTTATTTATGAGGTTATGAAGAGATTATTCAATGCTAGAAGAAGTCATTGATAAAGTTAAATGAATTATTAAGTTAAACACAGTTGGAGATTAATTATTACTACAGTAATATAGTGACAGTTTTGAAGTTAATTCATTGAAATAAGCATTCAATAATACAACCACAAGATCCAGTATATTTCAAAGTACATTAAGTATACGGAAAATTACCAGGAGTTAATATATATTTCGATATGGTGGAGATGGTGTCGCACATAATATCCGCCGTTGACTGCACATCAACATCGTAGTGCTACACCCCATGCAACGTCAGCAGCTCACTGAGAGGAGCACCACCCAGTAAATATAGGCCCCCCAAACGGCGAATACCAGCCCCCCGTACGCCCCCATATAGAAACCCCTAACCACCATAACTCCACACACCCCAAAACGACACGCTTAATAAAACCCCAAGCACAAGTGCAACACACTCACCACTTAAAGAGAATAACCACCACGAACACCACCCGCACCTAACCCCCCCGATCACAACCCCCCACCAACAAAGCTAGCCCCTCTCACCCCCCCACACCAAACCCACCACTCACACCAACCCCAAACCCCTCACCTCTCACACCCCCCCCCCACCCCAACCACCCCAAACACACACGACTAACCACACTGGCCACACACCACAAACTCACACACCACCATGCCGATCCCTCTCACATACCCCACACGCCGACGCAGCCACACTATCTGCCTAGACAAATGCCCTTGTGAGCACACCTTGCCGAAACGTCGTCAAAACAAGGTTTTTTCTAAAAAACCAAAAATTCTTGTTTATTTTTAGACAGAGCAGAAAACTTATAATTAGCTGAGCTCCCACTTTCGACCTTTCTTTTATCCTTTGAACTGATTTTAAGATCACGCTTGCAAATATTATGTCATTTTTAATTGACTAAAGTTGGAAAATAATTTTTATAAAAACAAAAGTAGCGACAGTAAACCTCTTTATTGCTTCTAAGAGATAAAAACTCTATTCAATAAAGGAAATTATAAATTTAATAATATTAAATATATATTAATGTTTAATTATGTTTTACAATGATGCATTATGTTTCATATATTATTAAATTAATTACCAGTTAAATTAGCCACAACTGGCATGGGGCGCTTTCGGCAAACTAGCACATATCTTGAAAAATACCTCCATTTATAAAACATGCATACTACCTGTTTGTACCTACGGCTTGGAGACAGTAGCCCTTACCAAAAAAATCTGCTAAAAAATTAGAAACAACGCAAAGAGCAATGGAACGAATCATGCTTGGAATATCACTAACTAAGACACAAGATTAGAAATACCGAGATATGACGTAGAACAAAGATTAGGGATATTGTGGAAGAAATTACAAAAATGAAATGGCTCTGTGCAGGTCACGTAGCCCGATATAATGACAACAGGGGGACACGGCAAATTCTAGAGTGGAGACCAAGGATGACAACAAGAAGGGACACATGGGAAGACCTCAAAAAAGATGGGTAGATGACATAAGAGCAGTGGCAGGCAAACAGTGGATTAGATTGGCGCAAGATAGAGAAAGATAGAAGCAATTGGGAGAGACCTACATTCAGGAGTGGATGGAAAATGGTTGACGAAGAAGAAGAAATTAGCCACACGCTTTTGTACTTTGTTTAAAACTACTAAAAGTCTATCTAAATTAGCTGTAGGTAACTGACCACATTACAAATAATTTCTGATGTTTATGGTACTAAACATTTATTTTTCACTAAACTTCCAAAATGTCCCCGTTCTTCTTCAAAGAAATATTTAAATACTTGACAACACTGCATGACAACGCTAGAAGCTCGATCCCTACCGCTTGTTTATCGTACTATACTAAGTTTAAATAAAACTAAAATAAATCTAAACATTTTTATTTAAAAATGGTTTAGTTGGATTTGTTGTTAAATAATAAACACCTCTTTCTCTTTTACTAACATGCTGTCCAAATACGATCATTTTTCCAATTAGCTTTGGCGTTATTGTCACTATTGACATATCATCTTCGTAAAAAATTCCTTCTTTCGCTAGAGCTTTTGTTCCTACTGATTCTATAAAGAATAATGTCGATCTAGCATGGTTACAGGCGTCTGAAAATAAAGGTTTTTTTTTAAAGAATTGTTTGTCTATAAAGGAGTGTCTAATAAACACTGCCTAATTCTATAGCGCGTATTGGCCACGCCAATTTGATTTACCATGTTTTGTAATTTGTAGTTAAAATATTCTATATTACAAACTTAAGGGAAAGACACCGCAAATATATATTTAAATACCTTTAAATTTATATTACTTTTATAATACTAAAAGAATCCATAACAATAAGAATTTACTGTGGAAATTGTAAACAAGTTTAAAACTTAGGTCCTCACGTATTATCGGACTTATGTGATGATTTATATGTGAGAGCTCTAATAAAACAGCTAAGATCAGCTTTTAATAAAATGAGAAATCTTTTTTGTAACCAGCCACTTAATATCAATGAGACAAAGGTCTAATAAGTTGCTTTCTAAAGGAATTTTAGAAAAGCGAACCGAAAGAAATTCTCTGAACGAATAAATGAGTTTTTAAACTGGATCCCACCAACCAGCAAAATTACGAGAGATTTGTGGCTGCAGTAATAAGTGCTGAGAAGAAAACTATCCCTGAAGCTATTGTACAAAATACGTGCCCGAATGAACTGAAACCTGTGAAGACTTATACGTGCAGTTTCTGGAAGGTGGTGGCTGAGAAATAGTCGGCAAGCTCTTACACAAGATCGATACAGCTGAATGTCAAAAATGGCTAGAGACTATCGAAAACCTTTACTTCAAAAAATCAAGCAGACAGGCATGGTTACTGTTGCGAAAAATTGGAGGAGCTAACAACTGTAATCCAGAGAAGATCAAATATCTCCTAACAAGGTTGCCTCCGATATAGTATCTTTATCTAGAGCTCCACGAGGCGAAATATATACTACCAAGATGTAAAGAGGCTTAAGGGTACTAAAACAAACGAACAAAATGGACTCTTCAGACTATTCAGCAATAATTGTCATTTGTGAAATCACACATGCACTGAAAGAAATAAAATCAGGTAAAGCACCTAAGTTTGATATCATCTATCCTGAGTTCTGGATACATAGTGGTGCATAAGCGAAACAGTGGCTTCCAATGTTCTACACTGATTAGTAACAGGCAATATTAGTTTCTTACTTAAGCAAATAAAGGTAATTGCAATTCCGAAACCGGAAAAACCAAATGATGTCAGAAAAGTAAACACCTCAAAGCTCTACTCAGCACGGAATATAAACTATTCAAAAAGCTTCTTCTCAACAGAATTATTTACAGAATCATTTAAAATTTCTCACTAAACAAGCAGGCCCCCATCGAAGCTGTAAGGACCAAGTCCTGTCACTAACAAATTTAAGGAAGCTAGTTTTTAAAAGAAACAAAAAATAGCCGCAGCATTCATAGATCTAACAGTAGCCTATGATACTGCTTGGATACAGGAATAAATATATAAACTAGCTAGTACTATCTTCATAAAGAAAGATAATCAACATCATTGACAACATGCTGACAAATAGAACCTTGTAAGTAATAATAGAAAAGAATATGAGTAGACAGATGAAACTTTCACCGGGTTCTGTGCTTGCCCCTTTATTTTTTAGCATTTATATTGCTGGCGTGCATGCAACTAAATTTCGCAAGTTTGGATATGCGAATATGTGGGACCGTTGCAACAAGCTACCAATCCCTTAAAACTACAGAAAACACTCTCACGAATAATTTCTCTATCATCAGCAAACACTTTAAGGAATGGAAATTACAATAAAGTATAACACGCTGGCAAACAGAGAATTACAAGACAGAATGCTCAAATTCAGAGAATACCTAACGAAAACACCAGCAAGTATCAACACAAGTCACAGTATCAACCTTAAGATCCTCGGCTCTTGGCCTGGTATATCCTGTGTCAGAATACTGTAGTATCGACCTAGTCGATACTTAGCTAAAGAGTGTCATGCAGATTATAACAAAACACAATTATGCCCACCCCTACAATGTGACTACGCGCCCTTAGTAACCCAACCTGCTCCGCGAACATGCATTGGTTAAAGAATACAACAAAATTGTGGATAATCTTCAATTTGTAGTCCACAACGACATTCCTCCCAATATTCTTGGAATCTATCTCTGATCTAGGTTACCTCCCCTAACTTCCGATCAAGTGCTACATCACTCCAATTTAGCCTTCAATGCCCGATAAAGAAAGAAAAAAGACGAGTGGACAAGTAAAATAGATTTGCATTAATATAGTCTACTGGACGTCATACACAAACCTGAAGGAATTAAACGTCCCCGTAAGTTTTGGACAACCGTTAATCGAATTAGAACAAACTGCGGAAGATGCGTCGACTCCCTCTATAGATGGGGTAAACTTGCCTTGCCTTTCGGTGATTGCGACGTTGTGACACAGACGATCGGGAACCTAGTAGAAGACTGTCCACGCAGAGGATACACAGACGACCTAAAGACTCGTAATGGCAACCGAAGAGTCAACAGAACATATAAAAAAACTGGACATTTATAATGTATTTTTGTGGTATGTAATTTGAAGTTTTCGTTGGCCAATCATCTACATTCATTCGCTTCACGTGACCATACCACACTAATGATCTCGTTTAAATTCTGTTTACACTGGAATATACAGTATTTGTCCTCCTAATATTTTTATTCCTGAATTGTGATTTGTGAATATGATCTTTTTTCGTTACATCACACGCTCTCGTTAGAACATCCAGATCTACTACTGCTATTGTTTTTCTCCTCTTATATCTTTTTTCGTCATCTGCTAAACTTCTGCTCCATAAGTCATAATAGGCTCTACCAAGGTTCGATAGATTGTCAGTTTCATTTCTTGTCTAATATCTTTAGACCATAGTAGAGAGTTAAGAATGTTTATTGCTTTTTTCCCTGCTGCGTTCTGTTTTTGATGTCTCTTTTGGTAGTGCCTTCTTTAGATATTATAGATCCGAAATACTTATATTCATTGCATGTTTTTGTGTTTCTAATTTCTAACAAGGATCTTCTTCATTATCCTCTATTTTAAGATACTCTGTCTTTAACATATTCATATTGATGCCCCATTTTTCATTTTCTTTCTTTAGTGTTCTAAACATGGACGTATAAACACAGATGGACTCAGTTATTTACATAAAATTGTGAAGTCAAAATTATTTGAATAGGTCACATTCTCAGCACCTTCAACTGTTGTCACGTTTTGTTTTAAAATTTCTTATTCGCGAGTCGTTGAAAATATTACTCCGTATTTTATACTCTACAGGTGCTATCAAACCAAAATAATAATTTATTGGTTAGATTAATATATTTAATTGTAATCAAAATATAAAGTGTGCAAATAGTGTGAATTATCATTTAATAATAGCGTATAATAGATATCAATCAATTATTTTATATGTAGAAGCACTGAAAACTATTTATAAATGGCAACGGTTGTTTACATTTCTCAGTCTTATGGATCTACGTCAAACTTCAAATGCTGTTCCATGTTTGTTTACTTTTTAGTAAAAGTTGTTTTTCGATATTTTGGCTGTATTTTGAGTGATATTTGTGAAAAGTGAAATAAAATAAACGAAATATTTACATCCCGATCTCTCATTTCATTTGTAAGTACATACAATTTACATTATTTAAGATGAGGAAATGAGGAAGCGTGTTTGTTTACATTTTAATAGGCGTACCATTGGGTTTATTCATGTTCATTAATGTATTGAATAAGATATGTTCATGAAATTAGTAGACATTTTTAAATTGTAAGTAGACATCATCTGATTAAAAAAGATCTGTTTAGTACCTTTTTAAAACGTGTTTTTATACATTATTACTACTTCCAATTTTTAAAATCTAAATAATTACCCGCGAGTAAAAATTCAAACACGTTTATGCTCATTGCGGAAGCATCACATTCTATGGTAGCTTCAAAACATTGTGTGTTAAAGGTGTCTTATTGCTGTGTCCATCTATGTTTATACGTCCATGGTTCTAAACATGTAGTCCATGTCTTCCTGATCATTCGCTACGACTCCCTGATCATTTGCAAAAAATAAAGTTGTTAGACATTTACCACTGCCTTGTCTATTTCCATTCCTCACACTTGTTTCCTCCAGTGCTCTAGCGATGATTGAATCTTCTTCTTCTAAATGTGCCTATCAACTAGAGATGTTGGCGACGACATTGACTCATCTTATTCTATTCACAGCAGCTCAAAATAGATCAATTGACGTTAGATCAGCCCACTTCCTATGATTGACCAGCCAGGATATACGTCTACGGTCAGGGCCTCTTTTACCCTCAATCTTGCCTTGTAGAATCAACTCTAGAAGTCGGTATTTATCATTACGCATGATGTGGCCGAAGTAAGCCAATTTTCTGTTTTTTATGGTGTTAATATATTCTTTGTTTTTTCTTAGCCTCTGGAGAATACTTATGTTACTTGTGTATATATGAGACCCTCAACGTACGTCGGTAGCCCCACATTTCAAATGCCTCTAATCGTTTTATGGCATCTTCTGTAAGGCTCCAGCTTTCTACTCCATAGAGGAGTAAAGACGTAACATCGAGATGATTGAATATATATTTTAAATCAGAGATAGACAACATCCTTGTAAGCCACTTTGTGGCATTTCTTGCATTTTTGTATATATTTGCGATAGCATCCACATACTCTCTACTGAGACCTACTTTCGTCAATGTTTGAAACAGTTTTTTCAGAGGTATCGTATGGTATGCCTTCTCTAAATCTACAAACAATAGGTGAATAGATAGATTCCTTGCCTTCCGTTTTTCTATTACCTGCTGCAGAACGAATATACCATCAGTGCACGATCCTCCTGCACGAAATCCATTTATAATGCAATGTATTATATAATATATAAATGTAAATTTAATTACATTTCGTGTAATGTAATCCATACGATAAGTAAATAAAAACGGTAACTGTCTTCTTTTAGCATTTACTTATGGAAATTATAAACATAATATTACATTTTTAAAGCACTAGAATATACTATGACATAGAAGATATTATCAAAAATGATATATTAGTGAAGAGATTAGAAATACAAGATGGAGCGTAAATCATAAGACTTACATTAAAATAATACTGCCTAAAATACTTACTTGCAATATCTTTTTCGTAAGGACACCCAGGTTGATGTTTTGCTCGATTTGGATAAACGTCAACATGTCCAATAGGTTTTTTGAAACCAAAAGTTTGTATAACGTCGACAAAATCTGCATCACGCCAAGTAAGTTGTTCAGAGTCGAGCATATCAGGCTTATACCACTTAGGACCAGCTGGATCTAGTGCTGTGATTCTTCCGATCTTTCTACCGGTGAGTTCTACTGTCGATTTACCAATGAATGCTGTTAGTTGGGAACCAAGAGAATGACCTAAAGGTTTATATACTAACATATATAGCTATCGGAAAATGTATAATCGGAGTAGGTTACGCAAGAAAAATAACGTGGTTTGAGTTTCTAGCCAATTCTACAGAATAATAATAATAATAATAGGCCAGGTTTGGCACTCAAAAAAATTCACTCTGATATTAATTTGTCAATATTTAATGGATTGTATGAAAATTCTAAAACGCCTGTCATTTGTTAACCCCCTCCCTTCCAGTAACAATAAGCTTTTAATTTTAAATAGGGAATATACCATAGATCCTTACACAAAGATTTCGTTGGAAAATTCAGATCAAAAGAGCAGCATTTATGTTAGATTAACCTGAAGACTTGGCAAATTCAAATTCAAAGCTCTAATCCATCTTCTTAATAATGGAGAAGTTACCTTAGATATCATAAAAACTATGGAAGTCAGAATGGATGGACCATTTACAGAACCTATAGACATAGCTAACGGAGCAAGATAGGGGGACTCATTAACACTGAAATTATATCAAGTATTTATAAAGCCAGTGTACGAACAATAATGAAATATGCCTCAAAAACAAGACCCGACACAGCCATAACACAAAGGCTACTAGAAACGGCAGAGACGAGAGTACTGAGAAGAATTACAGGAAATACGCTGAGAGATCGAAAGACAAGTGAAGACAGAAGAAAATGTTACAATGTTAGACAAAAGAAGAAGAAGAATAAGAAGAAGAAGAAGAAGAAAAAGCGGATAATAATTCTTTATTAACAAACATTTCATTTGTCTTATAATCAGTTAATAAACAACTAATATTTCGTTTATGTAGAAGCAGATCAAGGTATATTTAACTACTGAAAACATATTTTGACTTACCTACTAAATGAACTTTAGATAAGTCTACTTTCGAAGAAATTAAAAAATCTGCGATGAATCTTCCTACAGGTTTGCAATTGGCGCTTGAAACTTCATAGCTTTTATTTCCAGCCTTGCTCCAATTTAAAAAAATTATATTATAAAGTCCTTGTTTAAAGTATTCATCCCTGAGCGATCTATACCATGGCGACGAATCATCTGTAGTCCAACCGTGTACTATTAGTACAGTTGATATATTCTTAGTTTTTATTAAATCATCGCTGGTTTCTTCAGTAACTGTGGTTCCTATAGTGGGTGATGAATTCGTGAAGAGGGTGTAAATTACATCAGTCTTTTGGGCGTCAGCTAGGGAAAAGTCTACTCGTGGCAAAGATCTGTAATAGGCTTGACTATTGGCTGAAAAAATTAATTAATTACATGTTCACATGTCATTTACTTTTCTACGTAATGTAGTGAAAAAGCTTACAAAAGTTGATAATAAAAATCTCATTCACAATACTTAACGAAGCCCACGTTGCTCTAGTGAGGGAACTTTATTCGGATGAGTAAAGATGTAGATGGTGAAAAATTGTAGATCAAAATAGATAGATAAACGATAAAATATAATTAGATAACAAAATATAACAGCTTGATAAAGAAAGACACAAATCCATCTAAACTGTAAAACAAAGTGGGCGCCAATAAGTTTTAACCAGAAACTTATGAAGAAACTCAAAAATAAATACACTAAACTATTATATATATATATATATATATATATATATATATATATATATACATATATATATATATATATATATATATATATATAATATATATATATAATATATATAACACTGTTTTTGATGGGTTGGAGTCAATAAAAGGGGCTATTTGTTGACTATTTTTTACTCGAGCTTTCAATTGTGATTACAATTTTTATCAAGAGCTTCTAAAAAATACAAAATGTCTTACAAAGTTGAACTAGAAATAAAAAATTTTTTTTGTTAACTCACCAAATAAAATTAGTTTTTTATATAAAACTACTGCTTACATATTAAATACAAAAAATATTAATAAAAAAATGTCTTATTCTAATAAATGTTTCTCTGAAAAATTTAGATGAAGTTTCTTAAGAAAAAAAATTGAATTTATAAACAAAAATAGAATAGCTACAACCAGCCTAAATGTCATAAATACTAACTTAAAAATTTTTATTTTTGACATATTGTCAAAAATAAAATTTTGTTTAAAAAATTCTTCTTTGTTTAGTAACAAAAAAGAAGAAGATTTATTCACCATTGATATATATATATATATATAATATATATATATATATATATATATATTAATGTGATATTAATATTCTATTAATGTGATATTAAAAGTCTGAGGTGCGCCAAGCAATTAATTAGCTAATTAATTAATTCATTAAACTTATTTAAATGATGCAATTATGATTCTATCACACTATTTAATTTTCTTATCTCAGGGTTATACTCGTGCTTCAATATCTATGCTTTATATATGATGGGTAAGATGAGCCTCTCGTCTTTAATGATCTCATTCAAATGCACGTATCGTTCAAATGATGCTAGCCTCTTCTCCTTTCGATAAATTGAATATCTCGTTTCGGCCTGAACAGTGACTCTTGGAATATAAGTAGAAAAGTATAACTTACAATATTTTACTGGATCAGCTTCCCTCAGATACACTTACTCCACGAAAACTACATTAAGAATATTTAAATTACATTAAGTAATGATCTTAAAATTTTTGACCGGTTTAGAATCTATCATCATCATCATCAATGTTGCTACAGCCCTATGAAAGAGCCTCGACCTTCCCAAGTCTATTACGCCAGGCAGTCCTATCCATTGCCAACCGTTGCCAGTTTGCTGCGCCTATCTTTCTACCATCCTCATCTACACCATCCTTCCATCTGAGTTTTGGCCTACCCCTTTTTCTACTTCCCACGGGTTGTGACATAAGGATTCTTCTAGGAGGGTTGTTCTGCTGTGATCTTGCTAGATGTCCTGCCCATCATAGTCTTCCTATTCTTATAAGAGATACTACGTCTTTACCACCAAATATTTGTTTATATCTGTGGTATACCTCGTAGAGGAGATACAACTACGAGGTATAACTACGAGGTACGAGGTTTAGAATCTATATTTTTGAAAAAAAAATTGATTTAAAAAAATCAGAATTTTTAAATTTTCATAAATTTCATTTTCTTTTGAGAATAACTCCATATATACCTACTTAACATACTTAAAAAATGATAAAAAAAATCTTTTAAAAAATAAGGGATTTAAAAGATTAAATTTAATACGACTTTATAGCCCTTGAAATTACCTTTTAAATGGTTTTTCAATGAACCTGATATCATAAAAATTAACGGAGTTATTGTAAAACATGCAGTCTGCGGATCATGCAGTGGGGACCATTGCCAAAATAATCCTCCAATTAAGGAAAAATGAGAAATGATGAAGAGTGAAAAATTAACAATTAAAGTACTATTAATATTTGATTAATTTATGAAACATTACTTAAATAAAAAATGAATGAACTTTTCATATATTTTCATATTTATTTTAATACGTTTTCTCCTCTTAACTAGCAAATTAAATTTTTATAAGTCACATATGTAAGCATTGAAAAAATTGTTCAGGAAATGTGGAAATAATAATATATTATTAAAATTTATCATAACCAATAAAAAAGTTTCGAAATGATTAAAGCTATTAAAGTTAATAAAAAAATATTTTCTATTATTTTTATGACAAGGGGTCATAAAGGGTGCAAAATTACGCAATAAATAAATACTTGATTGACAGAAATGATTCTGCTTTAAGGGGGGTTTTTAAGGGTTGAAATTTTACAGTCAGTCAAAAATTATATCATAAACATTAAAGAAACTATTTGGGTAATAATAATATGCGATTTGATATTTCAGAATTATAAAAAACGATTTCATTATTTTCGATTTAAGAGATAGTTGCTAAAAGGGTTGAAAAATTAAATAAAATCATAAATCATGCTTATAGATGTTGCAAAATATTTATTTTATTTAATTAATTGAGATTACTGATGCTAAAATGATTAAATCTGCTTTTTTTACCATCTTTAAAAAAAGGCGCAAGTTGAGCATATGTCACTTTTGAAGTAGAGGGTAAAATTTTACTCAATCCCAAATTTTTATGCAAATCGATGGAGGTTCACCGAAATTGGAGGTAATAGTTGATTTTTACCTTAATTCACTGTACTAAGAGGTGAAATCGTATAAAACATTTTAAATTTACAATTAAAAAAAATGGTCATTCATCCAGATAAAAATATCTGGACCAACAAATATACGTTCACAAAATTTTATTGCAACCGGTTCAGTAGTTTTTGAATATTAATTTGGACAAACACCGTTCCACGAGATTTTTGTATATAAAGATATATTTAAAACCAAAATTCACCAAGTCAAGATCAAATAGGGAATGAAAAATATGAGTAAAAATGTTTACTAAACAAATTCAGAGACTACTTAAAAAAATCAAGAAACAAAATAGAATACCGAACTAGGATCAGTAATACTATTTTTTAATAACGGAGTAAAGGAAAACCGAATAGAACCAAGACAGAAATAGACTAACAGGTAGTAAAAATAGCGAAATGTAAATTAACTAATGGAAGGCTATCTACGGGACGACCAGGAAAATGATGGTCATAAAATATTCGAAACCGAGGAGGAACTCAAGAAAGAAGAGGTATTTATGTTTATATAGAAACATAGAAAGAAGTAGATACTCGGTCCCATTTCATGCGAATATATTATTGCGAGAATATTTCTCAGTCTTTTATATAGTTCCTCAAGGTGTTAACCCGCAATTATCTATAATTTATTGAAGCAAATAATATTTAAATATAGCATATATGAAATATTCCTAATGTATTTACCTATAGATAAACTCCAGCTAGTATTTACTACACCTAAAACTATCAAATATAAAATTGGTTGAATGTTCATTTTGCAAGCAATTCAGTCTTAGTTACTATCACATGGACGACAATAATATAACTTGACTTCTGACTTGACTTTCTGATATGACAATCATCGACTCTTAATATGATTGTTATAAAAATATTCATCAAGAAAGAAATGTTGTTAGTGCGAATATCTTTTTATAGATTTAATTTTTAGTTTAGTAGAAGTCAGTTAATACATTAAGGCAAAATTATTTTCAAATTTAACAATTTTACTTATAACATAATTATCAGTAAAGTTGTTCTATTATAAATATGGAAATATTCATAAATTTGTTTTATATCGTTCCCGTTTTTTAATTTTGGGCTGTCCTATGAATAAGACACTGAGACTGAGTTATCAAAATTGATGATTCAAATCAATATCACATTAATTTTTTATGATCTAAAACTAAAGTTGCACCTATCAAGCATGTAACTATTCCAAAACTAGAAGTTTGTGACTGTTTATTAGGTGTATCGAAATAATAAATAATAAAAATCGTGAGAGAAACAATTAAAGTAAATATTCCCATTTTTATGTGGTGTGATTCTCACACACATCACACTGGCGCAAGTGGCGCAAAATAGAAGACACCGGATTGATTTGGGGGAGGCCTATTTCCAAAGTTGGATTACTTAAGGCTGAAGAAGAAGAAGAAGTGATTCTCAGGTAGCGTTAAGTTGGATTTATACTGATCCTAGCAAATTACAAGTTTTCGTTGCAAATCGAGTAGCTAAAATTCAATCCTTATCCAGCAAGTTTACCTGGAATTATGTTAATAGTTTAAGTAATCAGCAGATATTACGTCTAATACATTTTGGTGGAATGGACCAATGTTTTTTCAATTGCCACAATCAGAATGGCCTAAAGTGGATTTCACTTTGAAAGTATCAAAATTGACCGAGTTGAGAAAGGCTCTAAGTTTTTCAAGTTATATTAGTACCAATATCAGATTTAATTATTAGATATTCAGATTTTTTACACGTCAAGGAATATCATTCTATTGTTTACGTTTTATTTACAGTTTAAGAAATAAAACTAACAAGTGTACGAGTAATTTATCTTTTGCAGAATTTTATGAAGCCCATATCAATATCATCAGACAAGTTTAGTTACAGTTATTTGCTGATGAGTTATCCTTTTTCGATAAGGGAAATCTACTTCCAAGAAATAATAGAGCTTCTTAACTCCATTTATGGATAATAAAGGAATTCTTCAAAAAGGTTGAAGATTTAACAATACTTATTAGGGACAAATCAAGGAATACATTTCCTGGTAGGTCTATCTAAGGATGTGACAGTTTTCCAGGCGAAAATAACGGCAATCCATCACTGCGAGGAAGAAATAACAAGGCAGGAAAGAACATTCTGTTCAGTTGTCATCTTCGCAGATAGTCAGTCAACTCTACTCTAGTATGGGATTGTGTGTGTGCCCTAAATAAACTAGGTGTCCGTAGTAAGGTTACGGTAGCCTGGGTACCAGCGCACGAGGGTCATAAAGGCAATGAAAAAGCAGATGAAATGGCCAAATAAGGTTCATTAATGCCATTTATTTTACGACAACCCTTCTGCGGCGTTGCAATGTTAGTAACAAGAACAACTACAATGAAGTGGATATCTCACAAATCTCTGGAATGGCGGAGGAATTCACCAGGACAAAGACAGGCGAAACAGTTCATTACAGAACATTTGCCAAAATTTACGGCAGACTTAATAATCAAGAACAGGAAAACACTCAAAGCCATAGTAGGTCTTCTAATAGGGCACTTTAAGCTGAATAGGCACTTGAAGCTGATGGTATTATCAGATGATGACCTGTGCAAATTCTGTCACCTCGAAGAAGAAATAGCAGAGCACATTTTATGCCAGTATGACAGTCTGGCAAATGTGCGGTTCTTTGCGTTAGGAGAAGAAAATCCACCGGCAAATAGCTACATGGAAGGTATAGTCTCGAAGCTACTAGACTTTATAGAAAGAGTCAGGCTAGGGAATGTTATCTAGGACTAGAGGACCACAATAAATCTAAAAAGGTCGCAGTGGAATAGGCTAAAAGGCCAACTTTCTAAATCTATCTATATATCTATAATAGAATATAAACATAAGCAACTTCTTCATCCATGTCCTCAATTACTGCTTTTTGCAGTAAGACATCATTGTTAGCCTATAGCAGGACGTGTTTTATAAAAAAATTGTTAATAAATTGTTTAAATTGCTTTAAATTTAATCCTATACCATTTCTATGTCCAATGTCTAAGTACCAAATAGTCGAATTAAAACAAATTTTCCATTTGAAGTAACTGGTATAGACTATGCAGGTCCTTTCAATATCCTTAACAAATAGGGGCACGGGCCTAAACTATTAAAATGTTATTTGGCACTATTTATTTGCTTTTGCACAAAAGCTGTTCATTTATAAGTTGTTTGGGAACTTACAAAAGAATGTTTTTTATTAAGTTTAAAAAGAATTACCTCTAGACGTGGTATATCCAGTAGGGTATCCCGTCTTTACATAAAATTTTTTTTGAGCTACACTATCGCAAGAGGTATCCAAATTTGCGTAATTTTCCAGAGATTATGAAAAATGTAAAATAAATAAGATAGCATGCCACCCTCAGGGCTCTACTAGACTTTAAAGTTTTGTAAATTTTTCGTTTGTACAGACCTAAATCATATACTTCAAATAATACACAAATTAAATTTAAAAGATATTTTATTATTTAAATTAATGAAAAAGGTTCAATACAACTACACAAACAAAATAGATCCTATAGTTAATGACAAAAGCTTAAAATTTGAACTTATTTTTGTGTCCAAAATTTGGCATTTCTGACCGAGACTCCAACTTGTGTGTGGCAGGGAAAGTCAAAAATATCCAAGCTTTTATCTTTTGCCATAATGTGTAGGTCCTTAGTAGAAATATGCCGAATAACCGGCGGTGTTGTAACCTGACAATCCTGACATTCGTCCACATAATAATATCGGTGTAATCTTTGGCAGAGAAGTTAATTTGGATGTCGTTAGGGATTTGGATGTGTTAGATTTGTAAATGGAAGTCGACAGTGTTTCTGTTGAGAAAGAGTCAGGCACTGCTTCTTCATCACAATTTGCTGATATAGAATCGGTCGTTTAAGTAGCACGCAACTTTTTTGTTGCCCTCATTGATTCTTCTATTTTTCTTTACTGTCGTTTCATAAATCTGACAGTTTCTTTCTTATTAACACCGCCTATAACCATTTTCCTGTCATTTTTTTGATCCAATAGGGAGTCTCTATCATTGATGGGAACTTTTTTATGTTTTAAACATGAACAAGATTCAATAGAAATACATGTACAAGCAGCAACGTCGAAAAGCTTTTCAGCTGACTCTAAAAAATAGTTTACTTTGTTTTCAAAACTAATATTTCGTTTGCTTTTGGGGTGTCTTTTCAAACTGAGGTACTTTTCAAAATAATATTTTAGTAACTAAATAATCCGTTTCATAGTTACGATTGGAATCGAAGATTTTGTCCAAATATTAATAACTTCTTCTGAAACAATGGCATATATTTCTGAATTGGATGGATCCTTTCCACTATACTTTAATTTTAGATCTTCTTCTTCTTCTACGGCACTACAGCTTAAAATGAGCCTTGGCCTCCTTTATTTTTTGCCTCCACCCTTGTCTGTCTGTGGCTGCTCTTCTCCATACACGGACTCCTAAAAGTGCTTGTGCGTCGCTGCTTACTGTGTCTTCCCAGCGCTTTCTTGGCTTTCCAACTGGTCTCTTTCCCTGCATTCTGGCGTTCAGTGCTCGTTTTGGTAGCCTATCCTCTCCCATTCGTATCACATGTCCGGCCCATTGCAATCTTTGTATTCTAATGAAGTTTGACTGGGGTGTTTCCTTATACAGTTGATAGAGCTCGTTGTTATATCGAATTCTGAAGATTCCGTTTTCCCTCACAGGTCCTAATATCAGTACTTTTCTTTCGAATGTGTCGAGTTTTTTTTTGAATGTTTCTTTCAGGACCCATGCTTCGCTGCCATAACATGCTATTGGCTGAATTAAAGTTTTATATATTCTCATCTTTGTATTTCGGTGGACACTTTTAGACCGAAATATATGGGAGAGGGCAAAATAAGCTTTGTTTGCCTGCGTTATCCTTTTTCGTATTTCTCCATCCTCTGCTCCATCGGCATATATTTCTACTCCCAGGTATGTAAACTTTCCAACCGTTTCAATGTCATCTTCATGTATAATGTTTTGTGGGATTATATTTCTTCTCGTCTGTACCATTATTTTTGTTTTTTTTCTGTGTTAATTTTCAGACCTAGCCTTTTCGTTTGTGTTTTTAACTCTGCGTATGCTTCCTGTGCTCCTGTTGATGTTCTACTCATAATATTAATATCATCGGCGTAGGCAGCCAGTTGAACCGTTTTATTGGTCAGTAGGTTTTCTCGTCCAGTTTGCATTTGCCTGACCGCATACTCCAGTGCCAGGTTAAACAATGTTGGTGCCAGCCCATCTCCCTGCTTTAGTCCCTGCGAGATTTTGAAAAAGTCTGTCCGGTTGTTTTGTATTCGTACACATGCCTGAGTTTCATCCATTGTGGCTTTAATGAGTCTAATTAGCTTATGTGGTATTGCTAATTCTGCCAATATATAGTATAGTCTGTCCCTTTTGACTGAATCGTATGCCTGTTTGAAGTCTACAAACACGTTGTGAACATCAATGTCGTGTTCCCACGATTTGCTCAAGACCTGCTTGACTGTAAATATTTGATCCATTGTCGATCTTCCCCGTCTGAAGCCCGTCTGATATTCTCCAATAATATTTTCTGCTAGTGGTTGGAGTCGCTGGTTTATAATATACGTGAGGACTTTATACGCTGTACATAGTAGAGAAATTCCACGGTAGTTTTTGCATTGGAGTTTGTCTCCTTTTTTATAGATTGGGCATACTATACTTTTCTTCCATTCGTCGGGTATTTTCTCTTCTTGCCATATTTCTTTGATAAGCGCGTG